ATACTAAGAAGTGAAAGATCGATATTATATTGGGCAGCCGAATATCACGATATATCGCCAAAACGATTATTTCCCACACCTCAAGTGATTACATTTTTTAATCCCTGTACTTATCGACTCAGACACTGAAAACAAACGACAAGGCGACGTTGCCATCGATCAGAAAAGCCAAGGGCAGGTATGAACCGACAGTAAGGTGCTGTTGATAATTCATTAAATATTTCTACATGAATATATCTTTTCTTCTTCTTTTATTATTTTTTTAAAGTTTTATTTTACTGTTGGCTTTTACCGTTTTATTATAACAATTCTATTATATTTTTTATCTTTATACATACAATGCGCTTATTCTGCTTTTATTTTTTCTCTTGGTATGGGGTTTTATATATATACTGTGTATTTATATATCTATGGAAATATATATATTTATATTTATATTGTGGAGGAAAACATGTTGAGATATGTCTGATCTTAGCCTCACAGGTTCCAAATGAAGGTCATGAGAGATAAGAATGCGTTACTCAGCTTCCTTCATGGCATGAAGGGTTTTAAGGAGATCCAGTGAAAGATATATTAACCTAACAGGGAATGGCCTTGATGAACTCAAGTTGTTTTGCTTTAATGTTCACATGTGAGAAAGTTCTTTTGGCAGGGGGTGGGTTGGTTTCCCTGGGGCGAGTGTGTGTGTTGGTATTTTGTAAGGAATAAATGTCTGAGAATGCCTCAGTCAGAGCTCTATCTTTCCGTCTGAAGACCTTAAATAAATTTGAACCTTTTGTCTTGCAAGAAATGCCTCTGCCTCAGCTTCTTAACTCCACAATATAAACACACACTAGGGGTGTAAATCCCACCTATGATGTCGATTCGATTCAGAATCAATTTAAGAACCAATGATTTGATTATTTTCGATACTCAAGAATACAGCACAATATGATTGGATTAATTATTGTTATTATTATTACTTTTAATTTGTTTTACCTTAAAGGCTAGACAATGTTTCAAATTTGAAATAAATCAATGAAAACTGTAATACCGTTATGCATTTTATTTGAAAAGCAACAGAAAATGACAGAAGTAGCAACGTTGTACTCCACCTAGGCCTATGAAAACCTCATTCACAGAAGAAAAATATTGCCTCTGTGTTAACGCGAGTGTATGTGAAAGCGGAAAGAGGGTAGTGGCTAAAGGAAGCGAGGTAGGAGGGCAAAATAGGTTTAGCGCCACCGCAGCACGGGAGTCCGAATTACGTCCAGGAACAGAAAGATAAACATGATTCGATACTCTTGC